GTTTCATGAGCACCGCCATGTACGACGCCCGCGAGGCGCTCATCCCAGGCTCCGCCTACGACCGCAGCAGCGCCGGTATTTACTCACCGTTTTAACGTCGCGGGTCGTCTCTACAGTCGTCTGCGTTTGACCTCCACTCATGTGCCGAATTGTGTTTCAGCTGGACGTCCGTCCAACATGTACTTCCAAACTCACGATCAGATCGGGATGATCGGAACCGGGCCGGGTCAGATGGCGGCCATGAACATCCCGATACCCTTCAACCTGGTGATGCCCCCGATGCCTCCGCCCAGCTATCTGGGTCAGACCAACGGCCCGGCTGCAGGTACGTCTGCTTTCTCTGTGCTGTTGCAGCTTCTCGCACTTTAAGGGAGTGAAATGAAACGAGACACTGGAGCGTCTGCAGTTCGCTACGGCCAAAGAGGAAAACATGGAAACTTCTCCAGTGTTTGGTTTTTCACGCCTGATAATTTGATGCATCGTTTATTACATTCGCAGTTTGTTACTTTCTTTTGTGTCTTTGCCAGAGCCTTCTCGGTTGTTTTGTAGATTTTATTTTTTCTCACCTCTGTGTTTCTTCCTTCGTCTTCAGGCCGCGGTGCCATGAAGGGGAAACCTGGCCGTGGAGGAAGGCAGCGGGTCCGCGGCTCGGGTCACCAGGGCAACGGGCCCAACAGCCAGGCCAGCCAGGACGGGGCTTCCCAGTCCTTCTCCCAGGGGCCGCTGACTCAGGGTTACATCTCTATGAGCCAGCCCTCTCAGATGAGCCAACCTGGCCTCTCCCAGCCAGAGTTGTCCCAGGTGAATCCAGATTCTCAGGATTTAACCACATCTACCTTTCTTCACAGAACATATCTCAACTTCAGGGTTTTCTTCTTTATTTTTGGTCTTTTAGATTTATTTTTGTGATGTTTGGATACATTTGGTTGAATTTCAGTTTACAAATTAAACAAAAAAAACAGTTTGAAATGCACAATATATCTATTTATCCTTAGTATCTTAACATTAGAGCAAAAGAAAAAAAAACTTCTTTTGGATAATTATTGGATAATCATGAATTAAGGCTCTTTGTAATATACTTGGGGATTTTTGCTGTTTAATAAAGAATAAACATGAAGACTTCAACTTAATGTTGACATTAAGATGAAACCTTTAAGATATTAAAAACTTATTGAAAGTAACTTTTCTATAAATCCATGTGGTTGAGATGGAAATGATCCATTTTCTGTGTGAACTCCTCGTTATCTGGGAAATGTGTTTTCCATTCACCTCATAACAAACCATGCTGATGTTTAGGAAGTCAGGCTGATGTTTCTGATGCTTCCTGTCTTCTTCTTCTGCAGGATAGCTACCTGGGCGATGAGTTCAAGTCCCAGATCGACGTGGCTCTGTCCCAGGACTCGACTTACCAGGGTGAACGTGCGTACCAGCATGGCGGGGTGACTGGACTGTCACAGTACTAAAGTGTAAGTCGCTGCAGTTCGCTCACTAACGTGTTTATTTAATCAGTTAGTGACTCAGTCAGTGAAGGAACAACTGAAGAAACAGTTAATATTTTAAATGAATTGAGATGCGACACAAGAAAAGTATAGCAAATTCTCAGCTTCCTTTTATGAAATTACCCGATTGATTTCTTACCTAGTATTAATATCTGATATCAATATTAAGTTTTCATAATGGTGCTTCCTGAAAAGACAAAGATCTGTAATTAATTTGGAAAATATATGAATAATTAAATGCGTAAATTGTTTAAAGCTGTCATGCAGTTAACCAGCCAGTGTGTAAATCAGAAAATATAAAACAATTTACTAAAAAAATAATGATTTAATATTTAACCAACTCAACCAAAGTTACTCATTATGTATAAGTTTTGGTCCTTTATTTATTCTCTTCAGTTCATTTAACACATCTTGATAGTAGAGTGAGCTGATTAAATATAAAACTAACTGATGATTTTTGCGCTTAAAGTGATCGCATGAGTATTAATGTCTTTTATTTTTGATTTAGTATTAATTAAAATCAAAATAAACTTTAAAGCTGCAGTTTGTTACGTTGATTAAAACATTTAAAATAATCTGTGAAAAGCTCATCCTTTAGCTGTCTGAAGAAATGCTCCTGACCAAACACAGCCAATCAGACCCAGAGGCGTCTCAGAGCTGTCAATCATGCTCATGTACTCGCTGCTCATCGTGCTAATGGCAGAGAAACGGCTTTGTGTTGCAGGAAAACCATTTATCTGCTGCCATCAGTGGCTATGCTAACTAGCCTGAGCATTCACAACAAGCTATGCTAGCTACTATCAGAGACCACAGGGGAGAGAGGAATGATTGACAGCGTTAAGACCCGCCTCTGGATTCTGATTGGTTGCTTCCTATTAGCACTGGGAGACAGAGGAGCTTCATAGCTTTTTCTTTTTTCTCCTACCATTCTGTAACAACATGACATTTTAAAAATATATTTTGTTACATTCTGCAGCTTTAAATACATAGTGAACCAAAATCAATCTGAAAAGCGGCTTTCTGTGTTCCAGGTTGCCTGAAGAAGGGAGCTAGGCTTGAGCTGAGCTTAGTTCATCAGCTTTTTAATCTGGGAAATAATAAAAACATAAAATGGATACCTGTTTTCCTCTGCTACATCCGAAGCACCACCAAGTGAAAGCGACGGGATAGCGAAACCAAACCGATGACCAGCGAGAGAATGGGAGGGAAGAAGAAGAAGGAGAGAGCGCTAACAGACGGGCAGCGAGACGGAAAGAGGCCGCGTGAGCGAGCGAGCGAGAGAGAGAGAGGCGGGAGGCGACGCCCGCGCTGAGTGAAGGAGGAAAGTCGAGGATCTGGCGGCATCAGGTCGGGCTGCTGAGGGAAACAGACGAGAGATCCGCGGTCTCTCCTGAGAATCCAAGAGGCTCCGCTCCCCCAAACCCCAACCCCAGCCGTCCGTCCGTCCGTCCACACCCGCAGCTTCTGGGAAACGCTCCAGGATCAAAGCCAATCAGTGGAATTTTGAAGAACTAACAATTTGGACAGAAACTGTGTCAGAAACAAAATGACCCTCCCTCCCCCCGACCTCACCTGAAGGCGGGCTGACCGCCAACCTGCCTCAACGTCCCAGAGAATTAAAAACGATTCGGCTCGTCAGGGGAGGACACCCCGCCGGGCCCGGACTCCTCGGCAGCCTCCGCAGGAAGCAGCAGTCGACTCTCCCTCTCAGAGGACGCAGGAACACTCCAGTCTGACGTCGAAATGCCTTCGTTTGCCTCGGGAACCGCCAGCGCCGTCACAAGGTCTCCAGCGAGGCGGCGGCGGACGCGGCGCGCGGACTTCAGGCAGGCATGAGACGCAAATCCCGCCGACCGACGTGGTGACCGCCACGGGACAGTTTTTCTTCTCTGAATACCTTTCTTACCACAGAGCACAAAATTGCATAAAAAATAATAGTTGGTGAAACTATCAAAACATGACCAGCAGTGAATATTTGGCTCGGTGTCATTTGATGTTTCAGCTTAAGGCTTTTTTTCCTACTGTAATCTCACGACAGCGGGGGGTTGTTGGCGTTTGGCTTCATGACCAGATTTATTTTTAACTGTACTCTGTGCTTAGATTGGCGAATGCTTAAACGCTTTGTGCTGAGGGGTTCCTCGGGGGGGAAAGTGTTTTTTCTTTTTTTTTTTTCCACACCCGATCAACGAATCCCCGCTTGAGTTGGGAGTGGAACAAGTGTGGAGGGAAACGACGAGGCAATCGATCCACTGACAGGTAGAAAAGGAAGGTGGCTGAGGGAGGAACCAGTTCAGAAACAAAATATTCATAAAGAAAAGGTGTGGCTGTTCGGCCAAACTACCGTGGAGTTGTAATTTGGGGACACGATTAACCCTGTCATTTAAAAACGTCCTGACCAGCAGGAACGCCGTTAGCTCTGATCAGATGACGGCGGGATGAATTAAAAAGATAAAAATACTAATCAGTGCCTGAAACCATTCAACCTTCAGATAAAAAGCTGCAGCACAGCCATGAATGTAGTCAGGAGTTGAACTACCAGCATCTGACGACCCGTTAGAGCAAGATGGCCGCCACAGAAAGGAGGTTTTGTTGAATCAGCGAGGTTTATGTTGGTCGTGACTAAAAGCCACCTTCCTTCTCTGTGGAGTGAAAACCGGCTGGTAGAGTTTATTTTACCTTCAGTGGTTTTGATTTGTCTGAAGCTGTTCTGCTTGTTTTATGTATTTTATTCCTTTTTGGAGATTTATGATGTTTTAGCTTCCTGGAGATCTGAGAGCCTTTTTGTTGTTCAATCAGTTGCTGCTGTGTGCATCATGATCAGCGGGTGGCGTTGTGTTTTTTGGCCCATTTTTACAAAGATTTCTCTTTTGTAGCATTTTGCTGACTACAGGAAGGAGGCAGACGCCGTTTTTCTTCCCTCACCTGGACTTTTGTGTCCTCCAACCGTCTGATGGGATTGTAGTTTTTGTAAGCGACACTTCCTGTAAGAATGTAGTCCTCACCTGCTTCTCACGTCTGCAGACATGTGACAATCCTGTTCTGGGTAGATGACGTTTAACTCAGTTTTTGTTGACATCCGGCTCTCATTTGTGCTATAAATTATTTTAACCCGCTCCACCGAAGGCCTGACATGTTGACAGCTTTAATGGAAAACGCTGCCCTAATATAGTTTTGTTGTTTTTCCATCATCGGAGCGGCGGTCGGTTGAAACGCGCTGTGATTTTTATTTTAGAAGTGATTCAGTAGATTTGCTCAAACATCTGCATCCGATCTGAATAATTTGAGTTCAGAGATTAAATTCGTGGATTTAATGTGATGTAAATAGTGTTTGAAGCAGTGGATATTCTTTGCAGTGCTGTTTTATCACAAGACGGTGTTTCCCTTGGTAACTGAATCAATAAAGGTGGTCGATTTGAGCTTCAGCGATCTGAACTTTTATTGCATATAGAAATAAAACATTTATATATATATATATATATATACACACAGAGGCAGCAGCTCTTACAATGCGGTCAGCTCTGCCTTTTTGTTACATTTTCTCTTCTTCAGCTGTCCGTGTTTCTGCCTCTGAATGCTCTCCTGGATCTTCTGCTTGAATTTCTTCTTCTGGCTCCGGATCTTCTGCAGCTCGGCTTTCCTCTTGGCCTCCAGGTCCGGGTCCTGACGCGGCAAATCAACGGCAGCAACTTTAACACTCAGCAGCAGACAGGACGGTAAATAAAAGATCCTACTGACTTATTTACACTGAGGCATTTCAGTTTAAAAAAATAAAATACTTTGCTTAAGCCTGGGGTGTTTAAAGTGGCCATTTGTGACCCTGGAAATGATTTTGACCAATAAGAGAAAACAATTAATGAGCCAGACATTTAGAAACTCTTAATAAGGCGACAGTCTGGAGGCCTTTTTATGTTTTGGATCTTTTAAAGATACAGATTTCCTAAATGTATTTATTTATTGTAGTAAAAACTAAAACTGAGCTGCTCATTATTGTAAAATGTGTTTTTAATAACTCACCCGGTTAAATAAAATGTTTTGTGCTCCTCCAGTAGCTTAAACTATTAAAGTTAAAATTGAAAATAGATTCAATGTCCATAAAAACAGCAGTAGGAACTTTATAGGATTGAAAACATTTCACAATATAAGCATTTCATTTCAGTCAATATCAATAATTATGGATTAGTTTTTTTGTAAGTTTCTCTAGTTGCTAGAGTGAGTTAGTGGAGTTAGTGGATTCCAGCTGGCAGGCTGAGCAGTTAAAGCTTTTCCTCTGCCTACATCCCCCAGAATGCTGTGTGGTTCTGATTGGAAGCAGCGAATATTCCTCCAGATGTTTTATCTGCCAGCACTGATCACATTTCTATCGCAATATATATTGTTAGTGATTTAATTTTGAAGCAAAACGTGTACTGTGGCTACACATCTTAAAGTGATTTAAAACCATCTTACAAGTAACTTCAGCATGAAATAGGAGTTAAAGTAAATAATGTCTTAATATTAATTTTAATAGTTACAAATGAAATGATCTGCCAGTGGAACAAGACGTTTTAACTCAGAATATGGAAAATGGTTCTTGCTAAAGGTAATTTTTCATTAACTTTGAACCATACTGAAATCAACACGTCTCTTTCTGAGCTATATAACTAATAAATGAATTGATCTGTGATATGTGCAGCCGTTAGTCACCTTCCCCTCCAGGATCAGCTGTTTCCGCTTGTTAATCTCCTTTTTCTCGTCAAAGTCCGTCGACTCCAGCCTCTGGAACACAATTTTAAAGAAATTCACATTATTACCTCATGGCTGCCAATGAAGCAACAACTAGAAGATGTTTTTTTTCTTTTTAGATGACAAAATACATAAATCCTTAATGCGAAGAGAAAAACGTACAATTTCACACTCTCGCCGAGTCACATTGACTTGTGTGAGGATCTTCAGGACTTCTTTCTCCTCCATGGGATATTCCTTCAGCTTCGTCTCTGCAGGACAAATAAATAAAAATAAAATCTGTCTGATCTGTCCTCCAGCCACTGATTGATTTTGCTGAGCAACTGTCAGCAGTCGCAGTTTTAAGATTTCGTCACTATTGTTTATAACTGCTTAACGGTGTGGAGAGAAAACTGGATGAAATAGAAAAAATCAGGGCAATATTTCAGATATTTAAATTTAAAAAAGAAAAGTTTAGATTTATTATAATTAGATATATTTTAGTGTTTTCATACTTCAACCTTTTTTAATTCTGCACCTAAAAATTAACAAGTGTTTTGATTTTATCTACATTAGTTGGGGAATAAATACTCAACAAAAGATACCATTTTCAGAAACATGTATTAAACACACATTAGAAGGTTATTATATCTGTAATTTCAGCACATTTTAGCTATTTTATAAACACACAGTACAGTTGCAGTTAGTTTTCCCGCCATTACTATGATATTTTCATTTATTTTAGTTTTTATTTTACTATAATAACGTTCAGACTTACTGGTCTGCTCCTCGATCGAATGCACCAGATGGATGTCGTACTGCGTCACCAGTGTGATTGACACGCCGTTCCTCCCTACAAGAAAAAAAAAATCAAAACTGGCATTTATTCATCAAGTTCACCCAATCACTCAGTTCAGATTAAACATGGCCGCCTCGACGTTTGCTAGTGTGAACCGGCCTGCTACCTGCTCTCGCTGTTCTCCCGACTCTGTGGATGTAGATCTTGGGAAGTCCTGGGGTGTTGTGGTTGATGACAACCTGGACTGTTGGAATATCCAAACCCCTAAAAGTCAGAGCAAACAGAAACCATCAGAACAAACCCGGTAACCGTCCTGAAACGAGTCCAATCGACCGTAATTCACCTGGAAGCCACATCCGTTGCAATCAGGATTTTATAGACGCTGGCCTTGAACTTGGCCAGGTTGGCGAATCGTTGTTTCTGGAGAAACAAAATGGTGGCCATTTATTTTAAATGACCATTTCTCAGGCGAGAGTACACTGCAAAAACACAAACTCTAGTTGTAGTGCAAATAACTTAGTACATTTAAAATGTTATAAACTTAAAAGTAACATTTTAGCGAGACGTAGGAGCTTGTTTTAAGTAATAAGCCCTTAATTTTATTGAAAAAGTTGTAGTTTGGGAAATGTTTTTACTCATAAGATCCCAAAAGTGAAACAATCTGCCATTGATGAAACTGCTTTTTCATCAATATTAAGAAATTATTGACTGAAATAAAGCTCCTATATGTTGCCGAAAAATCATTTGTGGGTAAATTCTGTCTTATTTCAGGTAACTAATATATTTGCACTAGAAACTGGGTCAGAAATACTTGGAAAAAATGTTGATTTTTTTTTGCAGTGTAACTGATCAGAACATGCTGCTTTGGCCGTTGACGTCATTACTGACATTTCTGATCAATTATTCTGACCTGTTTCATCATGGAGTGCAGACAGATTGTAGGAAAGTTGAACGCCTGCAGCATCATGGTCAGAATCTGGCAGCTCCTAAAGAAATGATATATTGATTAATTTTTCTCTACCTGATCAATGCAGGATAATTCAACTGTGTGGCTCTTTACTTGCAGGTGTTGGTGAAGATGATGATGGACCAGTCGTCATGCTGGTCTGTGAACGTCTGGATCAGGTGGACCAGGTACGCGTCCTTCACCTTGTCTGGAGTCAGGATGTACCTCTGGTCCAGCTCCTCCACCGTCCGCGTCCTGACGCCAGCAACAACGTCAACAACAACTAATCGGTTATTAAAATAAGACTAATTTAAACAGTCAGAGCAAAAGCTGTCAATAAAATATACTTTTTCTTTTAAAAACTTTTTGCCTGTAAATATGTTCTACTAAAATGTTCTCAATTTTAACTTCATCTGGTTCAAATTATGTGAAAAGAATAATAATAATAAAAAATCTTGAGCACGTTTTCAGTTACTGATCAGTTAATCAAAACAATCAAACATCAGTATTGATATTAAGGGCATTTTTGATGCTTTGCTACAAAACATTAAGCTTTCACCAACAGAATCCTGTTTTCATTCAATTTAATTATTTGGTCATTTGCATTTTTATATATTCCTAATATTTTAAAAATAATCTGATTAATTGTCAGAATGATCGATTGCAGAAGTAATCGAAAGCTGCAGCCTTTTTAAAAACCATCACAATTCAAGAGTTTACAAAAAGTGGAAGAATAATAGCAGTTTTCTCGCTCAACTCCTTTTTAAATTGAAGTTCAGAGCAAAAACAAAAAACATCAAAGTATTTAGCAGGATTTCACATGAAAGACCAAAACAAACTGGTCCATATTTGTGAAGTTAAGGGAAAATAATACATATTAGTTTCCTTTTACAAATAGAAACCTACAAATCTTGCATTCAGCCTCGCTGAGTCGACACTTTTTACCTCCAAATTTCAGCAAAATCTGGAGTATTTTGATTAAATTGGACTCAAAAGTTTCCAGGTTTCTTCTTGAGCTGAAACTTTAACTGATAAAGTTGGACTTTGCTCGGCGGAGCCGGCGGTTCTGGACGACGGTCGGGTCGACTCACTCGGACGTGCTCTCCCAGAAGAACGGCTTATTCATGGCGATGCTCTTCAGCTCCTGCAGGGTGTCGGTCAGCGTGGCGCTGAACAGCAGCGTCTGGCGTTTGGCCGGTAAGACGCTCAGGATCACCTCCAGGTCTTTGGTGAAGTCGGTGCAGCCCTGCTCCAGCAGCCGGTCCGCTTCGTCCAAAATCTGACAGAAAAACACAATAAAGCACGAAAAGAGTCAAAGTGGGCAAAAACAAACCTGCTTCAGGTTTATGTGTTTCTGACTTCAGCTTCAAGAGCAATAAATCAATTAATCGGATGATAAATTAAAACAATTTCAATAACTTTCTCTCTTTGTATCAAAAACTGAAGGATAAAACTCTTCAGTCTGCTGCTTTGAAATCAACTAAACATTTTATTAAGAACTATTTTGTTTACAGAGACTTTATAATTAGTCATATTTGTCATTTAATTTATTTTGATATTTAAAATGTCTTCCGGTTCCAGTGTTTAATGTTTATTAGAAATAAAAGTTGATTAATCTTTGAAAATGTGTTCTTGCTTTATTAAAACAACATTATTTTTTATGGCAGTAACTTCTGGGACAATTTATTATCCAGCAAAACGTGTTTCTGTGATGTAAAATATTCAAAAATGGTTTCATTTGACCTGCCTGGATATCACATTTTCCAATGATTGTGATAAGCAATAATATTGTTATTTTGACACCATTTTCAAGTTAAATATTTAACTATAATGCAGGATCGCAGTCATAAAAACGAGTAACGTTATAAATAAAACTTAACACTGGAAATGGAAAATATTTCAAATCTCCAACATAAAACAACCAAAAACTAAAAATAAATCAGAAATTAAAAACACATCTGAAAGCATGAATAAAATCAATAAATAATACTCTGTTCCGCTCTTTACAAAATATTAATAATCAGAACGTAAATTATTGAGCTCCTCTCAGTTTTTCATGCAATTAATTAATTGGTTGATTAATTGCAACAGATTTAAATCTTTGTTCCATCAGTGATCAAATGTTTTTGCTTCTCACCAAGAACTTGATCTTCCTCATGTTGAAGGTGTTGGAGCTGCGGATGTGGTCGGCCAGCCGACCCGGCGTGGCCACGACGACGTGAGGCTGGTTGGACAGCGCCAGCGCCTGGCTCACCATGTCTGTCCAGATGAAGCCACACAGGAAACCAGTCACTCTCAAGGCAGAAATTAAACTGGGAGCCACATTTTCCACTTCATTCTTCATTTAAACACAGAAATCAAGTGACGTTGGATTCTGATGGTTCTGACTAAACGTAGTTACCCATTCCTCCGACGACGATGCAGTCTCTCAGACCCAGAGGTTTTCCCAGGACTCTGAACTGCTCCGCAATCTGATAGGCCAGCTCCCTGCGTAACATCACATGATAAGCTTTAAAAAAAAAAACTCAGAAATAGAGAATCTGTAGAGGTTTTATTGCTTTAATGGTGACGTATGGGATCAGTCTATGGGCGATACCAAACATGTTTGTTACTTTTTTTTGCACAAAATAATTCTCAGATAATGGGATTTTAGTCAGCTCAGTTCTGTTTTAAGGCGTCTTGTCACTTTAAATTAAAGGTGCTACTTGATGGGCAAATTGTGCGACAGTACATCTTTGAAAAGTAGAAGTCGATCCTCCTGCACAAACAATAATTCAGAACGTGGTTTCTGGATAGAAAGTAAACAACAAAACACTTCATATTTATATTCCTATTCAACTGTTTTTCTTTCAGTGGCTTTATTCAGAGTGAAATGTCAAGACAATAATCTATATTTTTGTATTTTAAAAACTTCAATTATAAATGCTTTTTATATGCTGAGACAAGACTTGGTGGGGATCTGTGACCTCTGACCTGGTAGGAGTGAGAACCAGGCAGAAGATGCCATATGGCTCCTCCGACAGTTTCTGCAGCACCGGCAACACGAAGGCCGCCGTTTTCCCACTTCCTGTCTTGGCGCAGCCCATGCAGTCGCGCCCTGAGAAAAAAGACGGATCTGGGTCAAAACCAGAGCAAACGCAAGGCGACTGGTTCTGCTGAAAATGCTAAAAACTGACGGCCTTTTAAACTTGTATAACTTTGAAACTGACAAACAAAAAATAAGATTGTGTGTTAAACAAGCTGAAATAAAAGACAAATCCATCATGAGTTTATAAAGCTATATTTTTACCACCAAAGACATACAGACACATATATAAACATTACTTCAAAAACACTGTAAGTTGTTTTAGATCTATTTTGGGGGGGCATTAAGTTGTAAAGTATTAATCTTTTTTATTTTCATTAGTTTCAACATCTCACAGAAACTTCTCTGTAGTTTTTCTATTTTTTTTTTTATTTTAAAACCTAAAAAATGATAGAAATTTTCTTAAAAATGGCTAAATGTTTCCTGAACTAGATTTATCAAAAATGGTAAGTTTCTTTTTTTTAAAAAAGGTCAAACCAATAAAGGCAAATAACTGTAGACCTCTGGTCTATAAAATGCAACAAAATACATCCAGATTTGTAGTTTAAACGTGACAAAATGAGGTCATTAAAACCATCCAAACAAATAATTGTAGTAAATCTCATTAGTGCATGTTGGTCGATCTGTTGCAGATTGGACTTAAAAAGAGCTGAACGTCTCTTACGTTTCACTCTTAAACCATAAAATGTGGGCTAAATGCAGCTCGTGTCCTGGGCTGAAGCAGAGGAGCGGTTACCTTCCAGGATGGGAGGGATGCAGTTCTCCTGGACCGCAGTGGGTTTGTTGAGCCCCAGATGTTTACATTGTTTCACCAGCCAGTCCGACAGACCCACGGACGACAAGTCGCTCATTTTAGATTATTTTAAATCAAAAACACTCTACATTAACATTTGTGAGAGCTTTTTTAAGGCTAAAACACACTTCCTTCGCGTAATCCTCGTGTTTGCTCTACAGCCGCCATGATGTCAGAACGCCATGATGTCCGGAAGCGTCAGAACATGACGTTTCCGGAAGTAGACAGGCGCTCATGTTGCCCCCTGCTGGTCAAATGATGAATAGGTAAAACATGTCGGTTCATCTGTGGGTTATATGACGTTTGAAAACCTTTTTTAATGTTAATTTCAATCATTTTAGCCTACTGTTACTTAAAACCATACATTTAATATCAGAATATTACACCAACCTGATAAAAAAAAACATTTTAATAAAAATGTGGGAATAATTATTAATGTTTATGTTCAAAATCTCCTTTTGATTTAGCAGATGAGCTTAATTCGAACCCACATTGATTTATATGTTTTATTTGTTAAAGTCATTGCAGTCTTATAATCACAGAAATCTCTAAGAAGAAACATTAAAATGAGGTACAAATAATCCACAGCAAAAAAAGTTATTTACACTTGTAATCCTCAAATATTTTCTTGATTATCATTTTAAATTAGACATATATAAATTTAAAAAATCACCTGGAGGGCTCCGTAATATAACTGTATAAAATCTCTAAAATAAAAAAATATAAGCCAGCAGGTGGCGACAATGTTTTATTTAAAGCAGAGATGAGATACACGTAAATCATGACAATAAATAACTAAAAGAATAAATTCTTACTCCAGCCAGTTACTATTACTGTCACTTGTTTTATTGATAATAATCATTTTTATCACTTCTGCGAAAGCATATCATACAATGAAGGTGACAGTGATGACCTCAGTGGATTGATTATCGCTGCCAATCAATACAGAAGAGGATCTCCAAACTATCTGAAGTCAATCATCTTGTGTTTGGGAAGATTTCTGACAGATGGAAAGATTTAAAAAAGAACATTGAGCCCAGCTTTATGTTTAGGGAAAAGTCAAGAGAACCAGAACCGCCATCTTGGACTTAAAAAGGCACAAATTTTAGAGTTTATAAAAGTGTCTGAAAGTGTTTACCTGAAAAGACTGAAGATTCAAAGTTGAATCTGCATGATCTGCTGAAAGCAACAGACCAAAGCCCAGCATATCATGGCATGTTTATGCAGAGGTGGAAACGTATTTCAGAGTGAAATATGACCAACATGGCCGCCAGGTGAAGGACTGTGTTCAGGACAGAGCTGAAGCTGAATGAGAGCAGCTATGAAATTAATTTTCTAATGTCCACAATGACCTACATTAGTGTGCAGAAAACCATGAGGTCACTAAATACTCAGCAGCTGCTCTTAATACCTAGCAGCTGTTATTCCGTCTCATAATTTACAAATGTTCACTTTGTTTCTGTCCTGAACTGAAATACATGCAGCAGTTTTACAGATTCATCTTGTTTTTGCAGCAGGATTTCTCACACATCTTTTATGGAGTTAAATGATAAATCAATAAAGAGCCTCGGATCGATAAAACCTTTTTATTTTCTCCTTGCAGCAGAGAAATCAAACTGTGAGGTTGTTCAGTTTTGATTAATGACCAGAAATGTCCGCCCAGTTAATACACAGTATTTTTATCTTCTCACGACCTTTTCTTGTGTTACATAAGACGTTAGTAACCTTTATTTGTCATGTTATATTCAGAATTGACTGATCAGTGCTGTCCTGGATTTTCAGCCTTCTGTTCGTCTCCATCTGCTCTGACTTCAGTTCACTCAGCCTCGGCGCTGCTCACTCTGATTCATGCAGATGGACTGAGCGAATAGAAAGACCTGCAGGATTTTTCAACAAAATCTTAGGTGGATCTGCGTCACAGAAGGTTTGCATCACTTCATGTTTTATTTTTGAGAGTAAAGGATGAAGGAATTCACCCTGCAAGTTGATCTGTGAACAAGCAAAATGGTGTGATAAAAAATGTACAAAATCATTTCAAGTTATAGCACTTGTACAAAAGGAAAAGGAAAAAGATTTTAAAAAATGCAATAAATGAGGAACTGGAAGATTTTGGTTTTACATCCAGATTGAGAAATGTCAAATTTTGAAATTCATAAATACAGAACTAAAGTCTAATGGGTTGTTTGGGCCATTGGAGATATGAAAAAAAAGGACTAGTAAATTTCCACCAAATCTCAGAAATTTTTTATCTTCAAAAGCTGAAAAAAACTGACATTTTCTGTAAAAAAGAGTGGGAACGTCTCAGTTTGAAATCAAAAATTTGCTAGAAAATTTTTAAAAAATTTTTTAGATTAATCACTGAAACATGGTTCAAAAGTTGAATATATTTTACTTTTTTAAATTTCAAATTCCAAATTTGACATTTGGAAATTTTCAAGTTTCTTGCTTTTTTCTCTCATATTTTGGACTTTTGAAACTCAGAAGTTTTTCTAAAAGAAATTCTGAAATTAATCTAAACATTTAGAGTGTTTTTGGCAGATTTATTTAAAATTTTTTCTTTATACAAAGGGCTTAATATACTTTGGTATTTTGTCAGATATTTTTGTTTGTAAGCTGCAGTATGAGTTAATATTTTCAGTCCTGATTTGATCAAGATTTTAAAACTGATCTCAATTTGAACTAGAAACAACAACAATAATATGATTTATTATAAAAAACTTAAATCTAATTTTATTGTTCTGCTTTTTCATTGTTGTATTTCAGTTGAAAGTTTCAAAGCAACATTTAATTCATGCTTTCATCTGATGAAAACATTCACAGACCTTTTTTTTCCAGGGACTCAAGGTCAGCATTTGCACATGAAGTTGTTTCGGTGAGCTGAAAGTTGTCCTTTTAGTTGCAACAACAAAATAAATTAATCAACTGTAAATGCAGGAGTGGACAAATTATTATTTGTTTTTACTCAGAGAGAAAAATGCAACAGCCAAATTGACAAGATTAAAAAGGAGGACATTCAGAAAACGGTGATGAATAAAAATAAAAAAGCCTTCAGGACATGCAGGCCGGAGAAAAGCTCTCCAATAGATGAGCCTGTCATTACCGACTCCAGACATAATGAGGGATTTTATTCAGAATGAGCAGCACAAGGTGAAAAGCATCAAAACCTGGGAGTGTAAACAACTGGAAAGGTTGGAAACGGATGGGGAAATAAAGCAAAATGAAACACTCAGGCCACAGAGCGTCATCTGGGAGCACAGATGTATTCCAGATGTTTTGGAATACTGGAGCTGGAGGATCGCTGACGAGTACAGAGATATCCGGCCGGACTGGACAGAACTTCATCACCCAACACGCAGCTCTGCTTTACGACGTCGCCAGGTGACCCTAAACACATCCAAGGGCTGAACACGGGTTTCTGGACCTGCCACAACTTTCTCCAGAACAGAAACAAAACTGGACCTAAAGAGGAACGATCCAGATCAGACCTGATCAGATCAGAGCCACATAAACACAACTACAAAGTCGGCCTTCGATCTCCTGAAGAACATTTCCAGGATTAAAGGGTTTAGAGAAACTCATCCATGACCAGAAGTAAAACATCAAAAATTATACTCAAGTAAAAGGAGCTCTTTCAAACAGCTGATCTCCATCTGGTTCCGGTCCATTTCCCATAAACTACTCTATCAAACAGCAGAAACAATACAGATTTTCTCTGCTGAATTCTGCAGAACAGTCTTATCTCGTTAAATGTTTTTAAAAGGAAACATTTCTCTGCTTGCACACATTTTTGTTTGCATGGATGGAAACTTGTGAGTGTGACTCATCTGCTGTTTGACTAAAGACGGATGAAGATCCCTGCAGAGACGGTCTGCACACTCCGTCTCCTGCAGCTGATTATTTCCTATGCTGGAGGGAAACGCCTGGATGTTCAGCACCGTCTTTCCCAGAGCGTCCAGCTGTGCTGCAAACGGCCCAAAACCAATGAAGAAGCGTCGGTTCTGCAAACCAGCAGCCTCAGTGGGTCCAGGTTCTGTGAGGCAGAGATCCGATGTGCGCCACGCTGCCTCCCTGCAGCCCAGAGGAGCAGTCAGCTGCGCCGCTGAATCGGGCCACTGAGCAGCACAATTGCACGATCACATCTGAGCCTCCAGAACTTCACTGCAGAAATTTTAAATCAGGCTTGAGCTGCTGAACTGATGCATTTAAAAAAATCATCTCTAACAACACAGGAATAGTTTTAGACAGATTCATATTTGAATGTGTTGAGAGATATTAGTGATGTCAATCAATCAATCAATCAATCAATCAATCAATCAATCAATCAATTTTATTTGTAAAGCACCTTTCAGCAACAAGGCATTTCAAACTGCTTTACATCAAAAATACAAATTAATAGAACAGTCAACAATTGCAGCATGATATTGTCATCGCTGCACATCAGATTATTGATTATTGTTTTATTGATTATGTTTCAAATGCAGCAACTCTAAACTGCTGAGTTTTTAGTCAACTTTTAAAGGAGCTCAGTGTTTCGGCTGTTTAGCAGTTTTCTGGAAGTTTGTTCCAGATTTGTGGTTCATAGATTCTGAATGTTGCTTCTCTTCATTTGGTTCTGGTTCTGGGGATGTAGAGCAGAACCAGGACCAGAAGACCTGAGAGGTTCTGGACGGTTGAGCTTTAGTGTATTGTGGTGTTAAGCCATTCAGTGATTTATAAACTAACAGTAAAGTCTATTCTATTCTCTAACTTCCTGGTTTTAGTCAGAACCTCAGCAGCACCGTTCTGGATCAGCTGCAGCTGGAGGATTATTTTTATTCAGACCTGTGAAGACGCTGTTGCAGTGATCAATGAGACGAAAGATAAACGCATGGATGAGTTTCTCTGGGTCTCGCTGAGTCATTAATCCTGGAGATGTTCTTCAGGTGACAGAAGGCCGACTTTGTGACCGTCTTTATGTGACTCTGAATGTTCGGATCTGAGTCCATTACTACTCCCAGGTTTCAGGGCTGATTGCTGGTTTTTAGTTGTATTAGCTGAAGAAAATAAAATGTAGCCGCATCTCAAAAACTCAAAATACTTTTGAATATTTCAATTACTACACATGTGAAATAGTTTAATTTATTTCTGTTATTTTCTATAATTATAGTTTACAATGAAGGAAACTCTGAAATTGAGTTTGTCTGAAAATTAGAAGATTACATGAAACCAATAAAAAAGGATTTTCTGCTGAAAAGGATTTACACTTTATGGTTTGAGGTTTGACCAAATTAGTAACAAAATACAACTTATTGCTGCAAGTTTATCTTTCACAAACTCACATATAGGGTCAAAATCTAAAACTGGATAAATGTATTTAACTTAAAGACAGTAGACACAACTAAATGTGGCTCAAATGTTTTACAGTGCAGGAGCAGAGAATGCAGGCATTTTACTCAAGTTAAAGTAAAATGTACAATGTAGAGAAAATACTCATAAAGCTACATGTTTTTCCCCAAACGCGACTCGAATAACTGTAACTAGTTGCTAACAAACTGCTGATTTCAGGCTGACGTTTTCTAGGCTCTGTTCGCATTGTGCCCGGCAGGGGGCGCTGTGGAGGCCCCGCTGAGGTTGCTCAATGGGATCCCGGGAGGGGAGAGCAGGGCACTCAAGTTCTGGAGGAGGTCGGAGCTGGACGCGCTCCGCTGCCCGACTTGCATCGACATTCCTCCGTCTGTTCCGCCCGCACAGCTGAGCCAAACGTTCTCGGTGCGTAATTGCGCACGGGCACGACGGATCCGCGCCGCTACCGGCCGTGGGAACCCGCGGACAAAGGACGGCGGGCAGGCAGGCGGGCTGGAGAAACACCGCCTGACTTCAGAGGAGAGAAGTGTGGTTGGGAAGGAAACGGGGGGATCTGGAGTCGGAAGTGACTGGTGTTTTTACTCTTGAGAAATGTAAGGCGAGGAAAGGATTTCAGGAAGAAAGTCAGACTGGGCCACACGGACTTCTGACAGGAACAACTCCTAAAAAAAACACCAGCATCCAGATCATCGGAGCATGGGGTGAGTTAGAGATCTGATCCTTTCAGATCCCTCCAGAAAATGCGAAATGTTTGAAAGTGAACTTTGTTTATTTTTCCAAGGGAATCGGTGGGGTTTAACTGCAGCAGGGAAGTAATTCTAATCAGTCTGTATGAGACGCTTTTCTCTTTGTTGGAACCATAAAAGAATCACATAGAGGGGGATCCTTCACGCAGAGCCTGACCTACTTTCCTCACGTCTCTGTTTAAACAGTTGTGACCGCAAAAAGGTCAAATTGACGGTATAATTGATTTGCTGCCTTTGCGATCACGCTGCAGCTTTTCAGCCCTACCTGGGATGTTGATCCTAGAGGCCAGTGAAGCTCCTTCAGAATAAATTACGTTCAGCTTCACAGACACACCGGGAGCCTTTGGATCATTTCCGATCTCTGTGCAGAGGATCCCGGCTGGGGTTTGCTTTGGGAATCTCCTGGTGACGCTTCGCTCTGTCTCTTTGACTCGTAAATATTTCATAGACCAGCCTGCCACTAAAACTCACAGAAATCCCCTCTTTGGGTCTCCATAATGGGACTCAGTTACCTGCACAGATCAGGAGTGTTTTAGATTGTACTTTTTTTTTTGCACATTATTAGAAAACTTTGACTTTTTTTAAATTTCCCTTTTGGATTATTAAAAATATTTGTAGAATGAATTGAAATTTAAATAAACACGATTAAAGATTTGATTATCCCAAATTTAGCTTATTTTAATTTTACACACACAAATGACTGAAAATATTCTAGGTTTTTGTGGAGAATGAAATCCAACCACCTGTCACAATTACAAATCTTACTGGATGATAAATTGTCCCAAATATTATCGCAATAAACGATATTGTTGTTTTGAGACAATTTAAATGTAATATGCTGATAGTGGCTAACAATGCAAGTTTGAGGGATTGAAAAGTAGAACAATATTAATCATTATCTTAATTTATTATGCCATGAACTGCTTATTAAGACAGACCTACCAACACGTTGAGCAGGACGGGTTATAGTTCATTAACCTTTTCTCTTTTCTTCCAGGGTGAATTATATCACGAAATATCAATTTTTCTTTCTATAAGATAATTTCAAACACGTAGTAAAGATATCCGACTTCATATTGGAGAGAAAATCTGTGATTCATGGATAAACGCTGGAATTTTAAATAAATAAATGTTCCTATTACAACTAGAGGATTTGGCGTTGCAAAGCTTTGCAGTCAAACAAGCTTTCACTTAATTTATAAAACAGACTAAAATGTTGTCGTTATCATCTTAGTGATTAGCACAATTAGCACCAGAGCTACAGTCCTACAGAGTACATGCCTGACTCTCCATCATCTCTGCAGGCCAGTTAACGAGCCATTCGTTTGGTTCAGGCGTGTTGGAGCTCAGATTATCTAAACGTTGCAGGACTTTAGCTCTCCAGGACTGGACTTGTCTGTCCTTCGCTGCAGAGTGAGTAGATCTGATTTCTTTACTCAAAGATTTCTGAAACGTGTGTTTTTCTCTCTGACAGACACAATTGGACACATAAACGGGATAAACCAGAGCAACTTTACTCTGACACAAAGTCTGTCCCTGGTTGAAAGTTTCAAAGCCTGATTGCTTAAATCCATCTGTAACAGATGCATCTTCTACTGGGTAGCTTCTTATGTTTTACAAAACAAAGAGAACAATAATGATGCATCTGTGGACGAACGTCACTCAGTTTGAACTTTTATCCAGATGAGTGACCTGGTCCTGGTGGGTCAGTGTAAACAATACCATGTTTAACTTGCCTAAAACTACACGATAACCTCATTATTATTGTTTTAAAGTCAAATTAGTGTACCTTAATTCCACTTGTCATTCATTTTCACATTTTCAAAACCCAAGGCTGCAAATCTTTGTGGAGACTTCCACAAACGGATATTTAGTGGAAATATTGTCTGATAAGTTTTAAAGAGGAGGTTTAATTCTTCTTGCCTGAGTTTTCCTCTGGTATTTATGTACATTTTGATCTTTTGAAAAACATCAAAGCAAAGCTATAACTGCATTCTTAAAAGTTTGTCTTCCTTCCTAAACACATCTGACCTAAATCCTGTTAATGCCACTTCAAACGTGAAGCTTCTCTCCGTGGAAAAGTTAGGAACCGAAACCGAGAATTAACGGCAGAAAACCATTAACGACTGTCTTGCTTTATTTGACGCTCCAGTTTGCCTGACAGTGTGGACTTTCTTTCTTCTGGTTGTGCTGCAGCGGAGGTATCTGAGAGCTGTAAAATGTACCCGCGACACCGTGAGAGGTAGAAACCCGCCGCCGTGTCTGTGTCGTGGTTCTGCATGTCAGGGATGGGCGATGACCAAAACCTCCAAAGATCTCCCTCCCTAAAAACTTTACCATTATTAGTGTGAAAGAAAGATGGATTTGTGTCAGAGTTTAGGGAACTATCATTGGAGACGTCAACAACACCACAAAATGCCAAAAAAAGAAAACCTTTTGAGTTTGACATCATTTGGTTTGAAACTCAAAAGTTTAACATCAGGTATTGGCATGTTGGGAATAATCCACCCATCCCTGCTTTATGAAACATTGATGAAGCGAATCCTCCATCATTCCACTGTGATGTCAATCCTTCCCTGAGTGTCTGTGGAAACTGCATCCGAGGCGCTGCAGACGCTTCGTGCTTGTCGTGTTGTGCAGATGTTGTCAGTGCGACTCGTGCCGTCGTTGCCTGATGTCCTTTTATCGTGTTTCGTCCTCCTGTCAGCAGATCCGCTGCCGCTCCGTCTGCTGCGGCTCATCAGACGCTCTTTGCATGTCAAACCTTCATGTTTAAAATAACTACAGCTGATTAATGAATACGTAGTGCTGCTTGAATGTGCAGCGAACCAAATGATATGTGCTACTCCAAGCAAAAAGTTGCTGTTTATGCCGACTGACGGAAACTGATACAAATTTCTTGTTTGCATATTTTCAGTTTACAGAAAAAAACCAAACAATTCAGACTAGATATGATTTTACCTTTGAGTTTTTTAGAGATATGGCTAAAAATGTATCAAAATATTGTAGCTTACAATGCAAAAACACAAAACTTTACCAAGTATTTTTGGTCTAGATTTTAGTGCAAATATGTATTTATTTTGTTTATTTGTGTATTTAAGGACCCCCATCGGGTTAGAGACGATTCTTCCTGGGTTCATTACAATAAAAATTGTTTTCAAATTTTACAGAAAAGATCTAATGGTTTTCCTTAAAACACAAATAAAATTAAATTGAACAAAAATTTGAATCAACAACTTACAAACATTACAAAAAGTCACAGCACAGCTATTTCAACAGCATCAAAACTTAATAAAAAACTTTTTAAAGTGTACCAATAACTTTTACACTTTGAATTAAAAAAACTGACTTACAAGTAACATTTCAGCAAGAATTAGGAGATTATTTAAAGTAAATATTTTTTTAATATTGATGAAAAAGTTCAGGTTCCTCAGGCAAATTATTTCAACCATAACATGGAAAAAATGTTAATCTGGCAATTGAACTAGTACTTTTTTAAAAACAATATTAACGAATTGATTAGTTACAATAAGCAGAAAAGTTAGATGAAAAGTTACCTGTCAGTTAGTTTTGTCTTGTTTCAAGTGTTTCACAGTATTTGTCCTATAAACTTGGACAATAACGACTTTTCTTCACTTCTAACAAGATATATTTCCAGTTTGAAATGAAAAAAGTCAACCTTTTATTTATCTACATTCAATAATTATCTTACTAAAATCTTACTTTAAATTTAGTTTTATCTTATTCCACCTCTACTATAATATTTGCACAGGAAACTGTACCAAAAATACCTTGTAAGATTTTGTTTTTGGGGTGTAAATTTACACCGTCTGACAAAACAAGTTGCTGCAAAAGGTGAATGATTCAGTTTTAAAGTTTGAAGGTGATGTTAGAAGAGGCACCAGAGGGCAAACAGTTTGCAGAATAAGAGGAGCCAAAATGTTGCAGATTTTAGCTTTCTAGTGAATGAAGATGCTGCTTTAGACAGAGTTACAGTCACATGGCCGAGTGGGATGGAGGCTGTATTGTGGCGATTCTTCAGGCCTGGTGGTCGTATTGTGAAGTTGACCTAAATGTGGGAGACACAGATCTGAAAGACGTCACTTCATGATGACGTCAGCTGCCCAAGTTATCTTTTTCGAAAGCTCAGTCTGCAAGTAGACAACTGTTTATTTGCCTTCCAGCTCAGAGGGCAACGGTACAGTTAGCTCCAGTTATAACTAAAACTGTTATTACTGCTTATTCTGCTTTGTGTTGGTTACTGATTTTAAAACTACATATTTATTGTCGCTTCCATCAACATCAAAACAGAAATATCTGCATCTGGTGCCGCAGCTCGGAGGAAAAGACTGATGATGAGTAGCGTCTTGTTCAACATCAGTTCTGAATCAACATGGACCACCATGGTGTGATTGCAGGGTTGCACTGTAAACATCCATCCATCAGGAGAAAGAAATGGCGAGCCAAACAACATGGCCGCTCACCTCCTCTGCTTCCATAAGGCTGAAATAATTGTAAATTAATTTAGTAATTGAACTGGTGCATACAGACTCAAAAAAGTGCATTTGCAGAAAGAACAACTTTCTCAAACCAGTAATTAAGTCAAATCTGTAAAACATAAATATATATTTTGTATTTAAGATGAAAAAAAACCCCTTTGTCTATAGATACGTTCCGCCTAAAACTCATTGGTTGGTAAAGTTTTAGCTTCACTAGGTTCAAATTCTGTAAAGAAAATCTCCTGTTAAGCACTTTTTACTATCTAATTATTAATAGGTTAATCCAAAACATGACTGCACTGCATTGATGTTAAATCAAGCAGAAAGCATTGAGCTTTTCACATAGTAGTAGTATTTTTTTTAGCTCCAGATGCATATTAGCTACAAATATCAAAGCGTTCACTAAAGGAATGTCACTGCGTTTTAGGCAATAAATGTTTACTTATTTAACAAAGAAATTTAATTTTTTCTGTCTTTTAATGCATTTCTAATATTGCACAAAAAGCCAAAGTGGGTAAAATAAAAATCTGCAGTATGTTCTATTTTTTTTTATTTTATTTCATGAATCGTCAGAATGATCAATAAAGTAATAAATGGAAACCATAACAGACTACAGTTCTATAACACTGAAGAAAATTGACATAATTGTTCACCACTTTTCCTTCTCTTTGCTGATTTGCCCAGTTGAAATTCAGCCAGAGGAATTGAGTTGAATGGGAGAAATCCCAGATGGAGCACTGCAGGCAGATGAAAATCGAATGTAGCAAGAGAATGGCTGCTGTTCCTGGTCCAGTTCAGAAATGAGTCTGGTTCATAATCACACATCACCAGCTGCTTCACAGAATATGCACATGAAAAATCCAGTTTGGATTTGGACAGAGCTGAATTAAATGGGCCAAAATGCCTAAGAAATGTGAGCAAAAGTCCTTCACTCTGTTATCGAGCTGAAATTCAGCTTCACTTCATGTTGCTAAACGATTTCTGGACCAGACAGACAGAGCAGGATAGTAACTAATTACATTTACTCAATTACATTTACGTGAGTAATTTATTTTTTTTTAAATGCACTTTTATTAGTATTTTTTACCAGTGTTGTTTTGCAGCCAGTGAAGACAAATATGCTGTAATTTAGTGATATTTCCACAGTTGTGGTTTTGAAATGAAATCCCGAATCTTCAGCGACTGAGACGAGACCCAATGCGGTGGAAACCGGCCTCCAGTTCTACAACACTGATTTTTACAATGCTGTATTTTTGTACCTGAATAATTTTACTATGAAGTACTGCTACTCTTACTTAAGTACTGCTACTCTTACTTAAGTACTGCTACTCTTACTTGAGTAAAGTTTCTGGATTCTCTGTCTACTGAATATAAACATGTTTTCATCAAAAATTCACCAAAAACAGACACATGTTAACAAAAACTGCAGTGTTTGTTCAAGTTTCATGAGTTTTATGTTGAGAAAAATTTATTTGGAAAAGAAATTCTGCCTGGTTTTGTTACTTATATAAATTATTTTCATTTTGGCCCTTAAAATATCAAAGCTTCCACTTAAATGTATCTGTTGGTCTGTCTGACAAGAAATTTTTAAATACTAATGGACTGATTATTAGTACTTTTCACCAAATACTTTTTTACTCTCACTGAAGTCAGAGTGAAAAGTTTTACAGTCTTTGGATGCTTTTCCCACCTCAGCAAACAGATAATAAAACCCAACTTGGGGAATGTTTTACTGAAAGTACAGGAGCAAACAGAACTAATATCCTCTTTTCTATTTTATTAGTTTGGTTTTAGAGGCAGCAGTGTTGCAGCAGGAACTCTCATAAATCTCTGAATCAAGCTGAAGTTTTATTACGTATTTTAATTAAGTGGGTGGTTTTAACTGAAGCAGCTGGTCTGTGTGTGGGAGCTTTTGTAACTGCTGCTTAGGAGACTTGCTGATTTATCTGGAGAAGGTGCCAGACTTTGCCTTTTCCTGTGATTTATCTTCATTTTCTCACCATGAAGCTGCAGAACAATGTGCAGATCAGCTCTCCCTCTCTGACCTTTGATGCAATGAATGCTTCGTCTTTGTGTCACCTTCACAATCCACAACAGCAGCTATTATCAATCAGACTCCTGCAAGCGGAGCTCACATTTTCAGGATTCCTCCAATCCTTCAAACCATTCCTGACATAGTTAGAGAATATCAGACATGGCTCGTGTCGGGTTCTGGACCGTGCTGCCAATGCGATGACCTGCTGAGCAGCAGTGTGAGCTTGAGTTTTCCCTCGCTGTGCTATTTTAATCCGCCGCTGAAAGCAGTGCGTGTTGTGTTGCCCAGCAGAGCCAATAAGTGGACCCGGGCTTGCAGCCTGAGAGGTCGGAGGAAGTGGACCCTTAAAGGAGAAGTGGCGTCTGACGAGCAAAAGTGGAACGGCTTAAAAGAACAGCGACCACACTCAGTCGCTTCTCGGCGTCTGAACGCGCAGATGGTGGAAAATGATGCCCAGCTGAACGTGTTTGGACAGAATTTATTTACTTTTTTCTCTCTGAAAGTTGCAGAAAGCGAGGTCTTTGTTTGTGATTCATGAGTTGAAATATGTTGGTTTTCATTCATCTTCGTTAAATAATTAGTTGGCTTTGACTTCCTGCAGCCTCTCGCCATCTGAGCAACAATACTGTTTTAACTTCTCCACATTGTGACACTTTGAAACCACAAACTATTGAGATTTATGTAGGACAGAAACAATTAATCAGATTC